TAAGTACTGCCATTTACCATTTACCCCGCCTCTTGCCCGTAAACAGCTGGAGATAGGCACCAGCACCTCTCACGACCCTACTTGGAATTAAGTGTGTAAGAAAATGGATGGATTAAAAATTGCTGGAATAAATATTATTCCGGAGGTTAATAATATCTGTGCATTTCATTAACAATTATTACCAAATATCATTCAGTCCCAAATAAATAGTTAATTGTCATTATTTCTTCATCTTAAATAATCAAAATCTAGAATCAGATCAAATCAAAAGTCTAATATACAAAAATGTAATTTGGCTTTTATATATAAGTTATATTAGGCTATATTGTAAAGAAAAAAAAAAGGTATTTCAAAATATGTGCAGGGTGTAAGAAAACAATATGACCCAATTGATGTGGTTACATAATGCCAGCAAAAAATTGAAACTACTTTCACCCCTGGTCAGTCTGCTGACTGGCAGTGTGCAGCAATATATGTGAGAGGTTCGATATGTCATTGCTTTATTTATCAATACCCTCTTAAAAAGGTCCAAATTCCATCACACCATTCCAGTGTAAGAAATGGTACGATACAAAGCCCATGCTTAGAGCTGACTGCTTTAAAAAAAAAACTGACGGATGAAATCCTACACTTAGAGCTGCTATTAAAATGCTCCTATACAGTCAGTGGAGGAAGAATCCTGAAACTTTTTTGTTTGGGACAAGTGGCTATGTAAATGCCTCATTAAGAATAGCTGTGTATGATTTGGCTGTTCAGACAGGTATAGGTATCTAGTTCCCTCTAAGCCTAATCCTTACGTACGTTTTAAAAGCTGCTGAGCATTTTTGTATATCAAACACTGGAAGTGTTCAAAGTTGAAAGGTTTTCCCAAATCTGCTCATGAGCACAATTCTTTCTCAAAGCGCTACGGATATTTCCCTCCACCTGGCTCGGTTTTCGCTCTGGCATGCACCATTAACTGTGAGACCTTACGCAGAGAGCTTGAAATGCAGTCAGGTTGTGAAAGTGAGTCAAAGACTCATGTTGAAGTCAGATTCATCCAGGCTCAGTTTTCACAGACAGTCTGAATACATTTGTAAATTGGGAAGATTAGTCTAATGGTTGCAGTAAAGTCCAACAATAACTTTGTTACTTAGAACTGTTTTGCTCATAATGCTTTTATTCTTTAAATTACAGGAGGCAATGTGGAAAAGCTTTTATAAACTAAAGCAAATGTTGTTTTTCTTTGTGTTGAGGTGAGAAGATTTTCAGGGATGTGGAGGCTGGAGAAAGCTGTAACATTGTAGGTTTGATACGACTCAGTGTGATGAAGGCTTGGTGTGAAAGCAGCAGGATCTGGTTTACCCTGATGGCCTCAATTACCGATTCTCCTATTTTCTGATGGACAACAAACACCGTTGTTGCACTTCTTTCTTACACCCGTCCGACTTTCTATTCACACTTAGACCTTTCCTACCATGCTGTGGCCCGAGCTAATGTTGTCTCAGTGTCAAAATCAAATCCCATAAGGGAGATTTTCTCACATTCGCTCTTCTTGTGTTTCTCCACAGCCCCAGATCATCAATCGGGACGTGGACTATGATTGACAGCCGAGGGAGCTAAGGAGACCTGCCACTCAGTTTGCTATTAGCGTGTCAAGGGGGCTTTCTCTTGTTCATCTAGCCCCCTTCTCCAACCTCAGCTCGCTTCTTATCTTTGGACCTATATCCTCACAGTCTTCAGCCTCTCTGAAAACAAAACAATACTTCTAAATCAAGCCAGGTTACCTCCCTCCCACGAAAGGAGTTGGACATGCCTCCTCACTCTGTTTGAGACATTGGAAGAAGAGGTCTACAAACCCTGGTTTGTGCATTTTAAGAAGGAGGAAGCGCTCCATCTGAAGGAGCTGAAAGAGGAGTAGTCATGAGGTTCCAGTTTGCACTTACCCTCCAGGCGATATGGACTGGCATGTGCCATGCTGCCATGCAACACTACCCTGCAGCATGGGGCCACTATGATGTGTGCAAGTCCCAGGTGTACTCGGACGAAGGCTTAACCTGGGACTACATGGCCTGCCAACCGGAGGCAGCAGACATGACCCAGTTCCTGAAGGTTACCCTGGATCCCCCCAACATCACTTGTGGAGACCCTCCAGAGACATACTGTGCCCTGGTGAGTACATTTAGAATCTAAAAGTCTGCTGTCAAGACCATCTTATCAGTTCATAATATTGTGTATCTACTGGGGATGTTTTGACCCCACAGCCATGACAAAGACTCTCAGAAGCCTGCGTGACTCACATATGTAGCTGTGGATGAAGGAATTGAGGCTGGTGCCCATTGACGTCATGTTCTGCTGTTTCGAGAGCTGTGGCTCAGTATGCACAGCAAACACAATCTGATATCAGGATGATGATGATGATCCAGTTGAAAAGACATGCTTTAGTCACCTTGTCAACATGTACAGACATCCCAAACCATTTGTTCTCCCCTTTGAGTTTTTAATGCTCTACCTCCTGTTAGGGAACACAATAGTCTACCAAGTCACAATCGTCACACTTGATTATTTGTCTATTGGTTCTTGTAATTTAAATCAAATAACCTTAAAACATATATCTGAATAGGTTAGAATTAAGAATACCTCAATCAAGACTTTTCATCTGAGATATTGATCCAAGTCATTTAATGACAGACGTTGGATCAAGGGTGTCAAACTTTGACTTAATTTTCAAGATTTTTAAAGGGAAAGTTGCTGCCATATAAATTAAACTTCTTTATTTCATTTACAATGAGCACATTGATTTGGTATTATTATGATTTACTCATGTTTATTTAGTATTTGTAGCATCTTATTAAAATTTAAAAGTACACATGCCTCTACTTTATGATATGATCAGCCTTTTTTGGGTTCTAAGGGATGGATAATTTAGCCTGACGTAGTCCTACTCAATTCTAGTCAGAATATGATTCTGATACTGCTCCATAGAGCTGTGATTATGGGGCGTGTTTTGAACGAACCAGGAAAAAAAATGCCTCTGCACTCAATTGGATAGACCTACAACCAATA